AAGCTACACTTATAATTTTATTTTATATTTCATCTAATCAATTTTAGATAATGGTTTCTTTTTGATATAAAGTCTCCACATGTTACCCCATAAATCCTCCTAGGCCTTTTTAAACTGATGAACCCATTATTTCCAGCCACTATATCTATATCATATTAAAAGACAAGCGTGTATTCATAATACATCATCTTCCAAAATAATATATTGCACAACTATATTTCTTCATCCAATATTATTCACTCTAGGTTGCATGGAGTCTCACGCACACTCTAGATGGAACATTCACATATGGATTCTCTGTCAAACTAAATGATAATATTAGGCTATATAAACCCATACATTTAGTGGAGCCTCATATCCCACCCAATTTATCCGTCAATAAACAATGACAACCTACATCCAATTAAAAAAACATCTTACTTTTGAATTTACACTTAATTTGCTATACATGTTTTCTAACAAAAAATATGTCTACCTACTTTTTAGATGATGAAGAATATTATAAATAATTGCTTGTAGGGATTAATTAAATATGATATGTTATAAAGACAACTAATAGCTAGGTTAGAAAATTATAAAACCATTGCTAATGAAAACAATTTATGGAGAAATCATATATTGTAGATGTTAAAACATAGTCTACGACACATGCCCGCGCGAATGCGTGGGCTATCTTCCTAGTTACAATAATAGGGATTTCACAGACAACATACGGGGGACATGATTTTGACCCAAGAACTCTATTTTATTTTCCTTTTTTTTTTTGCAAGTAAGCACTCCATGGTTGAGATAGAGAAAAATGTGTAGAGTGCAGAAGACAGGAAACTGGCAAAGACATTGCAATATCTCATCATTTCGTTGGCATTTGGATTGTTCTTGTGTTGTAAGTGCAATTGATCCTGACTCGTGTGAATTCCATTTGTAGGTTGTAGATCACAAGTAAGATCATGATGCTTTGCATCTGGAGGACCTAAATGCGACTTCTTTGGCGTCTTCTGAAGTTCTGATATGATATGTTGCTATTAGTACCAAGCTGTTATACTGCTGCTTCCAAATGTGAGGCTTTCTTTCCTTCTTGACCATAACCCATCAGTTTTTTTTAGTACGTATTGTCTAATTAACGGTGTAAACTTTATCGAGATGGGAACACACTTTCTTGGTGGAATTAAACTGTCTCATATGGATTTCTTTTTTCTCTTGATATAATATGCTCACTAGAGAAGCTGATTAGGTATGTGAGAAAATGTTCTTTCTCGAAGTCAACTTATCAACTGTGTGAAAGATGAGCAATTGATGAAGACAGTTCTTCGGTACAGGTCTCTTGCTGATCGTATCATGTTTTGTTCAGACTGGTGAGTGGCATCATGTATCGGTAAGTAGCCATTCCTTAATTTCAAGTTCTTTGTCAAGGCCATCCTTTCTTATGAACTAGAGCTCGAATTGGTTGATCTTGTTGGGTTTAAAGATAAATATAATCTTCAGATTAATAACTTCAAGTCCAGTTCTACTGGTATTACTTCTGAAGTGACAATACTAATCCTCAAGTGTATCTAGCATGTGAACTCATGTATGCATACCTGAATTGAATCTTTACTTGTGCTGAATGCCAATGTTTTCTAACCGAAATGTTTGTGACCATAGAACTGGTAAAACTGCATCCTCCATATCTACTGAACAGTAACTCTCTGTTTGTGTGTGTGATAAATTTCAGTGGTTCTTGTGTCCTGATTCTCTTGTCAATCACATTTGCCATAATTCTTTTGTTTGAATTTAACAAATAAAGGTGAATATAGCACCCATTAAGAACAATTTTGTGATTTGAACAATGTAAGATAACTTGTAAAACAATTATGTTCTGCTAAGGTTAGAAACTTTGAGTTTAATTGCTTCCTTTTAGAACATTTTATTGGAGAAGTAATAGATGGTTTTATTTAGTACCTTCCATTCTTTTTTTATTCTCATTTAGACAAATTCAGTAATTACATTTCTTGTTGACTTATTACTTTTGTGGTGCATTTTACTCTTGTACATTTCTTATTTCTAATGCTCTGATTGCTTACTATCAATGAATATCCTTCTGGAGCCTCACCAACTTTGGAGTTTGTAATCACATCGAAGGACTTTACCCATAGCGGAGCTTTTGGGACACTCCTAGTGTTCAACAATGAGAAAGGATTTACTCAAGAGAATGTCGAATCCGTTTGTAAGTTTGGGAATACTCTAAAAGGAGTAATAGCGATAGTGGTTATTTTGAGGAGAAAGGTGCATCATATGATTATCAGCTTAACTCGTGATTTTACTATCTTGTTGTTTTCTCTTGATCATGATATTTTTCCATAAGTTCTACATTTCTGTTATTATAAAGATTTAAGTTTTCAAGTGCTGCTTTTATGTTGAGACTTTCTTTTTAGAGAAAACTTTTATGTTTAGACTTGATTGACCTAGTTGCTCACTTTATTCCAGTTCAATTAGTTTGCAGGCATTAGTTTCAGAAGTGTGTTTCTGGAATCCAGAAATCGCCATATATACGGATATGGCTGTCGAGTATTGGATAATGTTCTTGAATGGATGTAGCCAAGATATGGCTGTCTGAATTCTGAAGTCAGCCACAAGTAATATATTACCTCTGGAAACTGATAAGATAGATGCTGTGAAAAAGGAACTCAATCTCAAGCACAAAAGTCCTGAAATCGCCTTCTTCCTTACATTCAGAGAAGTACATGCCCGAGTGTACGGAAATGTTCTACAAGGAAAACCTCTCAACGGAAACTAAGACTACTTACTTCTCAGCTGCCTCTAGAATGGTCTTTCCACCCTGTATATGCAGACAGTGTTGGAACTGTTCTGGAAGAAAAATGATGTTTTGGAGAGTCTTCGTAAGTATGTTGCCATGAAGATCTTTTTACTTTACAGGGTATATATGCTCTTACTGCTGTGAAAGCCAGTTTTCCTTCCTGCTAAGATGACTAAGCAAGGCCGCATTGTTGGGTAAAAATACATGGAGAGCTCAAAGTTATGTTGAGCTTGGAGACGATTGCGTCTCAGTTGAAAATCTACCTAGAGATCAGACACAAGATCAATATCAGTTTTCGTTATGCATCAAGACCAATATGCAAGGTACCGATGTGCCTTTTATGCTTCCTCCGGTTGCTGGTTTTACTGCTGCATCATCTCCTTTAACTGCTGTGAATGCATATGCACTTCTCTTAGAATGAGTTGACAATAATATAAGTTCATAGGGTGTTGGATTGCCACAAAAGTTTTTGGTGCTGCATCATGCGTGGCAATTGATTTACGACACCAGCTGGTCACCATCGGAATCTTTTCTGTCAAGTGCAGAATGGTGCAGTTTGTTTCAGGCTCAACTTTCCTTTCTAGATGTTGCTAATGATTGCCCAAGAGTTTTATTTGGACGAAATTGTTGCATAGTACAAGAAATTTTGTCTAAGTTTGAGTTTGCTGAAGCGATGCCATACATTGGTGAATGTTTCAGGTCAATGTCAGAAGATGCTGTGAGAGGGAACAAGGCGTTCTTGTTTGATTCAAACAAAATTATCAGATTGAAACAAGTTCAGTCACTTCTTCTAGTGCTGCTATGCTATTACTGAGGTGTACTGGAATTTGGATATGTTGATTCAAGCAAGAATTTGGTCAATGGACTGAAGAAGTGCAATGGGTAATGACCAATGCTGGATTCAGAAGCTCCTCGAGAAACACTTCTCCATGACTCGGAGTGGAGGTGCCTTGTTAAGTTTGCTGATGTAGTTCCACAGCTTGACGAAATATTGTCTTATCGGAATAGTTTGGAACATGTGAGCAATGCTATGTATAACTTGTTATCTGAAGCAACTCTTGTCAAAATCTTCTGCCTTACAAACGAAATTAGGCTAGCTCTGCTATCCTGCAACAAGGAGCTGAATGAAGATCACATTCCATTCCTTGCCAATATGCTCAACTTCATGAAAACAGAGAAGTGGCTGCATCCTACTCATGGTTTTGTTTTCACATGAGAAGAAGGTTCACAAACAAAACTGCTTGACTCGGTGGTACGGTGATCCTCATCGCAGGGGAGATTTGGAAAGAGCGAAGCGAAATGCTCGTATCTTCGGTCAAACTGCATCGTCACCGGCCAGGATGCTCATTCGTATTAGGGTAGGGAAATTAGTTGGCTTAGGTGGTGTTTGAAGATGAAGATGAGGATAAAGATTAAGTGTTTGACGCAAAACGAGGTGGTAATAACGTGTGATTAATTGAGTTTTAATTATTATATATTGAGTACAAACTTGAAAAATGGATTAATCGTATATTGTAGAACAACTTTCATATAGAACGTTTTCGCACGAAACGCACCGTTTAGCAGTTTAAAAAACGTGCCACTTTTATCCAGAAGTTTATCCAATTTTTGTTGGAGAAAAAAACATGGCCTAATCCTGTCTTTAATGTATAGCAGTAGTGATTCGGAACACTCCTGCACGTTCGGGGAAAAAAAGCACGTTCGAGAAAAAAAGGCACAATGTGCTATAATGTAATCTCTGTGTTTCATATTATAATTTATTTTTGAGTTCGATTAAAGTTAAACTATTTCAAATTTAGAAAAAAAAAGTAATGTTTTCAACCCAAGACAAAAATATGTGAAAATATATTATTTAATAATAAATTTAATGTAACTAATTTGATGTTGTAAGTATTATTATATTTATGTACAAACTTAGTTAAATTTAAATTAGTTTAACTTTAAACAAAGTCAAAAGAGTACCCTACTTTAAATCGATTGGTTTTGCCTGCTTCTCTGTTTCCAGACAATTTTCCTTTCTGAAATGGCACGCATAGACTGGTTTTTCCTGCTTTTATGCTCTATATGTGCATGAAATGAACTTATCTACTGCCTTTCTTTCCGTTGAAATCATCTATCTACGATCTTTGCTATGTGCTATGACAGTACACATTGTTCTTTTAAAACTATATATAGATATCCTTTTTTTTTTTTTGCGCTGGTGGGGTTCGTTTGAGATCGATCTGGAATTAATTTGTATTCATCGTGTTGGTATTACATGTACAAACTGCATTTGGTACAACTGCTACGATGAATTCTCCAGGGACTAGTGCGTTATGCTCTCCATGATTGGGAATCTGCTTGACTTATATATCATCAGAAGTTATTTTTTTTCTTCGTCTTTGATCCCTGGAGATATAACAGCCGAGGAAAAGCAACGAACAGGCGAAAAAGGTCGTGGATTTAACGCCTAATTTGCTTGCAGCTCCTGATTAATAACCCATCTGATTCATCTCTCATTCCTTAGGGGTATAATTTGTTCTTTTGTAGGCCCGCACTGCTGTAAATAATCAGCAACAATCTTATCAGCGATCAAAAAATTAATCGCAGGATAGAGTTATTATTTTTTGCAGCATGAACAATATTCTAGATTGATCCCAAATCAACCTTAAATTGGACGATATTAACCAAAGAACCAAACGTACCATTGATAAAAGTTCCAGGAGTTCATCCACAGATCATATTTGCGTTGTTGGTGCTTGACCTCGATGTTCGCCGAAGGCGGCGGCGGCGGCATTCTCACAGTAGTACCGGAAGCTTGGCGACCCCGCTTGCACCTCGCGCTTGCCACGGCCGCCCTTCTTCCCTTGCCGCGGCTGCTCCTCCTCATGCTGCCGGCCGGCCATGGGGACGGCGGCGTCGCCACTTTCGCACCCGCTCTTGCCACCATTGTGGTGGTTCTTCCTGGTGGCGCGGCCAAAGAGGTCGCTGGCAAAGCCGCGGCGGCGGTGGTGGGACGGCGCCGAGGCGTCCAGCTGGTCCTTCGGCTCGAGCTTGGAGGTCGAGCAGCCCATGGCAGGGGAATGGATGGATGGGGCGCGAGGAATTAATGTGTGGTCTCCCGCGAGGCGGAGACAAGGTGTAGAGGAGGGGGAGGAGGGGGATAAATAGTGGTGGATGCATGCATGAGGGGAGGAGATGGCGGGAAAGGAGGGGCGACAGGTTAATTCAGTCTTGTTTCCCTTATCCGCTACGCTAACAAATGAAAATTTGGAAAAGTGATATTTGGGCATGTGTATTTCGGGAGGATAGCAAATAGTAAATCTTTGCGTTGCTGTCCCCCAGTTTGGAAGGAGGTTGATGTTATATATTGAACATATTTTTTGGCGCTTTTAATTATTATTATTGACTCGTCTAACCTTTTCTTATCTACTATCGGTTACCGTTAGATAGGAGGCATGCATAGTTATTAAACTCTGACAGGTGGTTGAACCTTTGGATGACCATCAGTGATACTTTCTGGTTCTGGTTCGACCACCATCCCAAAAAAAGAATTATTTTATTTTTAGGATTGGGTTAAGTAAATTTATTTTACTTCAAAATCAATAATACTGCTTCATACTAGGCTTTATTCCTAATAGAAAATATCTTTACCCAGTCGAACAACTTTGGTTTTCGTCCAATTATGTGCTGAACTGATTGATTCAACCGATTGCTTGTGTAGTCTTTTATTCAATCTACACCAGTCTAGGCGCTTTTTCCGCTATTAGTACAAGGTTATTAATTTACATGTTTCACAATTGCATAAACTTTTTATTGCTACAAGTTAAGATCCACAGAACGCAAAATGGAACTTGGTCTTATTCCTCTCGTCATTAGACTAATAACCCGTGAATGAAACAACCAAAATAATCTGAGTAAAACTTTTATATCTGTGTTCTCAATGATTCAAAATCCAATGCTCCAAAATAAACTATGAGAAAAAAAACTTCCAAATCAACTCTAAAATTAATTTCAAAATTCAAATTTTGCTACAAGCCAACAAGAAAACGATGCAATATTCTACTATCCAATCATAAATACTTGCATTTTGGACAAGATCTAATAAACTTTTGAACTTTTAATATGTTGATTTCTAAAGATACATAGTCGGAAAACATAGAAACATTTTGAAAACGGCATGAGTTGATTTGTCTTGAGATGTTCTATCATAATCTCGTAAATTTATTCGATTTTATAGACCAACTCTAATATAAAATCATAAAGAAATTTGAATCTCGAAGATTATAGAAAAAGTTAAATGTCAAGTACTTTCCATAGAAAACAGTGGTGCCCTCCATCACTCCTTGTCACTTCAAACGTCTTCTCAAAATATGTGTGCAGCAATGGGCCCTATAAGCCCTTTGCCCACATGCTTGATTTTGATTCTTTAGTTTCAATTATAAGTTTATTGCTTAATTTATGATTTGGATGCTGTTTTTTAGGGAAATTGTTTTCATGTTGTGCATCATAGAGAGAAGTACTTGTAATTTTTGAAGGTTAATATAGAACTATTCGGGAAATGTACAATGGATCCATTTAAGGCTAGAGTAATTGAAATGGTGTGAGATGCATGATATAGTATATCGCAACTGTAAATATTACTTTTTATTGCCGTTTGTAGCTCGGAACATTGTTGGCTCGAGACATGCATATTTAATTTACACTTATGTCCCTCCACAAATGGTTATTCCTATTGTAATAGGGGTATCCACCTACGAATACGACAATGTTTTTATAATAAAGACCAACACATAAATTGTTTTATGTAATAGACCAATGTATTGTTATTATGAGTAACCAAATTGGCCCTCCAAGATATTAAAATTATGTACCTAGTTCACAAAAAAGTTGTTTTTTGGATTATGACCAGTTGCATCAACTTGCATCCAATACCATGGGCCATGTCCTAAAAGGTACTATTGTCGCAATCAGTGTGACTTCTTAACATTGGAATCCCGTTGACCTCAGCATCCATGCTGGCAAAAAGGAAATCCTTTGACTATGCCATCACACGTCCCTTTCAAAATTAATTAGAATTCAACGCCAGCTCTACATTCGTCTCTCCGGATTCCTTAATTTTTGGAGCTATATCAAATGCCACTAGCTTTTCCAGAGCATCTCATGAGGTTCCAGATGCTCTGAAGAACCTAGTGGCTGGAGCAATGCCAAAGGAACCTAAGTTTTTTTTACCAGGAAATAGCAGGGAAAATCATCATTTTATTTTATTTAAATAAATTTATTTCCAAAATAAGAAAAAAGAACTACAAAAGGTGTCTAAGTTACAGAGAATCTACCAATGGTTAATGATTGAAACTGTGATTTTTCTTATTGTCTGAGCCTAATCAGATCCCCATCATTGAAATCCTTTGACTATGCCATCATATCCCTTACAAAAATGATATTTTTTTTCCTTCCATGTCTGCCAAGAACCAATTACAAAGATCTAAATGAAGAACTCAGAACCTGATTGTAATGAATATATACAGGAATTGAAGTTGGATTGTTTGCTTGAATTCTATATTGGAATTGATAGCATATTTATTAATCCTATGAACATTTTTACTTTGTAGTTACTTTGTTATTTAATTTGTGCATTACTACTACAGAAACCTTAATAGGAGATGACACATAGGTGCCGGTTCATTTAAAACCGACACCTATTAGCAGTTTTCCAACCCCATAGGATGAAAAAAAAATCGGCATCTTTAACAACCTATAGGTACCGGTTCTACGTAAAAACCGGTATTCAGTTTTTCCAGACAAACCGACACCTATACTAATTTTATAGGTGCTGGTTCTTAAAAAAACTCACACCTATAATTAAAAAATAAAAAATAAAAATCGGCCAACCGAGCCAGCCGACATTATTTAGTCGAGCCCCATCTGAGCCCCTTCTTCCTCCTCCTCCTCCCATTCTTCTCGTCCTCCACGTCCTCCACCTTGTCACCGTCTCCTCCTCCTCCGTTGCCCCGACTAACATTGCCACGACCACGGGTCTGGATCCACCACCGCGAGCATCGGGGCGTGTGGACCTGCTGCTGCGCGCCTGGGGGTGGCCACATACGCCGCCGTGAGCACGGGGGTGGGTGTATCAGCCGCTGCAAATAAGTCGGCACTGGCAAAGAGCAGATGTCAACACTCCATGGGGTGTAGGTGGAGTGGACGGGCGCGCTGGCACTGGCGGAGAGCGGCCGTTATGGTGACAGGGACGGCGGGGGCATCGAGGTCAGGGTGGTGCTACTGTACGTGGAGATGGACGCATTCCGCGCTCATTCCACCGCCGGCATTGCCCGGTTTGATTTGGATTTGCTAACTTGGGATTCTTCACTTGCATTTTGGATTTGCCCAATTCTTCACTTTCCTTTCTTCTTACCCTTCTCTTCTTGTTGTTTGTGCAGGTGCGGGATCCGGTGGGGATGGAATCGAAGAGGACAACATGGCATGAACCGTGATTTTTTTAGTGATTGTGATTTAGTAAATTTTTTGGTCGATTTTGATTCCTGAATATTGTTGGATGGTGAATCTCTTCACCATGTCTTAGTGATTGTGATTTTATGTTTTTTTTTATGGATTTAGTGATGTGAATACGCTCTACAATGCTTGCTCTGCTCGGCTTGGGTTGCTTCCAGCTGAGTTTGGCCTCGTTCATCCCATTAGGTGTTGGTGATCGAAAAAGGCTAACTGAGTTAGTCTAGGATTCGGTCAGCCTCACTAGCTATTACTCCCTCCGTTTCAAAATGTTTGACACCGTTAACTTTTTAGCATATGTTTGACCGTTCGTCTTATTAAAAAAAATTATGAAATATATAAAACTATATGTATACATGAAAGTATATTTAACAATGAATCAAATGATATGAAAAGAATAAATAATTATTTAAATTTTTTGAATAAGACGAATGGTCAAACACATACTAAAAAGTCAACGGTGTCAAATATTTTGAAACGGAGGGAGTATTTCAGTTTTTCTCAGTTATAAGTAGTGGCCAGGCTGGAAGAAATATTGTGGGATGGCAGGATCACTCGATCCAGTGTTCCGTTCATTCAAGATCTATATATGTCAAACACCTGGATGGGAGGTGAAAAGGAGAAGTAAACCTGAAAAACTGCAAGGCATTAAGGAACGAACAAACTTGCTCTAGCTCGCTCTCTGTTCTTTCTTCAGATTTTCAGTTTCGTCAGATCACTGTTCATCGTCTGGGAATCTTCAGACTAAAGGTTTATCAGTGATCAAGTGAGTGCGAGGGTGTTCTGATGACATGAACTCCATATGAATCCAATGGCATGCAACACAGAAAGGACACGGAAAAATAACTGTTCTCTTCTACAATTTCTCAGTTGCAAATAGCACAATCAAGGTCAGCATTTACCATAATACAATGTGTTGTCTCTAGTGTTTGGTTTGTCATGGAGGGAGTTGTTTATTGCATGCTTGTTCGTAATAATTAATTGTAACTAGCCTTAATACATATATAGGTATTCGATCACATGATGATAATTTTAAACTAGTGATGGTCAGCTGCATAGAGGCTAGCTTAAAAGGCCATGGGAAGGAAATTGCTCTTCACTAGTACTTATCATTCCAAAAGTGCGATGGGGTGAGGACATATGTGCACCAAGAATTTGTCTATCCCGGCCTCTAATAAAGATAATGCCAAATTGAAGAACGTGTTTCCATCAGAAAGTGCGATGGGGTGAGGACATATCTGGTACGCTGTTATATAAAAGTTTCCCAAATGAATTTTACACATGGTACATGAGCCAATGCAAGTTGTAAAACATGTGCAGATGTTTAACGAGACCCTTACTTTGCAGCTACAAATCTCTAAAACACCAAGGCCACCATTCATCCTAGGTTTAAATGGAGCCTATGTTGAAGTTATTTCTTAATTTCTTTCTTTGCATCATCAGAATTTTTAACATAGACCTTATTTGCAAAATAACTAGTTATACACATGTATGATGAGCCTCAATTTCGATGAAAACAGCATGCTAGAACATACTGAATTTAATTAAGAGAAATGAGAATGGCATGGAAGGTGATATCTAAATCTAGATCCAGAGATAACAACCTCGCTCCATACACAT